CAGCCCAGCCTGGGGATACACTTCGGAACAGAGGAATCACCTTTGCCTGAAAAACTGCCTGCCCTGTTGGGGACTCGGGGACCTTCAGTCAAGTTGATCAGCCCTAGGTCTCAGTGTTTTCGCAGAGAAAATAAGGTTTTTACACAGCAGGCAAATTCTTTGCTCCCAGATCAGGATCTTTTACGAGGATCAGTCACTGTTAGGACTACATTTAGAGGAGCTAGGGTGGTGGATCCGGAGAGTTCACCGAGTCACTCGGACTCTGTCGGGAATGGCACACGTCTCAATTCCTGTCCTTAAAGGGCCACTGAAAGGAGAGAGTGGGTGGAAGGTGGGCTATTAACCTTCCGTGATGAGCTGGAATGATGGCCGCCATGGCTAATGGTAGCGTGATGACCACGGTATGAAGAGCATCATACTCAAAGCTTTTTCCCTCAAAGAACTGGGGTGAAACAGATGTCCCCCCTCCCCCGGGGGAATGTGGTTGCTCAGACACCTTGGAACAACCACAGCAATAAGTAGTGGGCTAGGATTCCTGGTGTGTGTGCCTTGTTGCCAAATCTTGGATTATGTATGCTTCCTTCTGCGGCCCCCATGGAGGAGGCCGTAGGGAGAAGAGCAGAGATGGGGGAGGTGGGAGAGGGGTAATGACAAATCCTAATTCAGTTCCCCCAGTGAGGGTTGGCATTTCCAATGATAAAAATAGACGGTAGGCATTTTTGGTGTGTGGGGTCTTCACAGGCCCCAAGCCTGGGTATAAGCTGGTATTAGAGGGGTTGCCAGCTGCCTTTCATTACCTGAGGATGTTGCAGGGAATTAGAATGGCTGGATGAGCAATAAGAGCTATGGTCTCAGCACACTGGGCCTGTCATCTTCCTGGTCAGCCTCTACTGTGCTTCTGTTCACTCCTCTTCTTAAATATTTACAGTATTTCTCCCAAAGCTCCACATCAGAACTGGTGACACCCCTAACAACGGTTAGCATATTGGCTTCTTAAGTGTCTGCCATATGCCTCGTTGTGGCTGAGGGTTGGTCGGCCCCATTTCCGATCCTCACAATAACCCGGTGAGACTCAGCCCCTCCCCCTTTCACAGAGGAAGGCCGCAGAGCACAGAAAGCATATTTAACTGGCTGGGCATACCCCCGGCTGGTGAACAACCAAACCAGAATGGAAGTTAATGACATTATCCTCCCAGTGGCCTCTCCTGGCTTTCAAGGTCTCTGAGTCAACTTCATTAATGGCTTCAGCCTGTGTTTCTTCAATCTTCTCTTAAGAAGGCCAGAAGAAAGCGGCATCCAAGGACCCTGGAGAAGGCCTCTCTGTGCCTTAATGGGTATATTTAGGACCTGTTCACCATCATTAATCCCACTGGGGTCTGGGCTCCTCCATCTATTTCTTACTCTGTTTGCTTTCCCTTTGTGTGTCTCTGTGTGTGTTATTCACTGTTAGACACCCCCCCCATTCTTCCTCTCACATGTAGTCTCATGCCTATTAATAATCAGGTCTTTCTTTGGGCCAGGGGAAAGAACTGACTTAGGGTTTGAACCTGTTTTCCTCTATCCTTACCTTTGCCATCCTCCAGTCCCCAAGTCTAACACGACCTGCTTGGAGAGTTCCCTGATAATCTGTCTTGTCATCTCAAGCAGGCTAGCACTTTGCACCAATGTTTACAGAAGTTCTTTGTATTACGGACTGTGGTGTGTGTGTGTATGTGTGTCAGTGTGTCTAAGTATGTCTGTCTCTGTGTGTGTAACTGTCTGTCTCTCTGTGTATGTGTGTGTTGTTTTCTAATTATATTGACCTTGAGGATTTGGACCTAAGGACTGTGCCCACTGTCATTGCTCTGCTCCATACATAGTAGTGTCCCAGTGACTGTCATATAGTGGTGCATGTCTTTAATTCCAGGGAGGTAGAGATAGTCTATGCATTTAAGTGAAGCCTGGTTTTTGTAGCCAGTCCTGGGCCAGCCAGGCATGTATAGTGAGATGCTGGGAGAAAAAAACAAAACAAAAACAAAACCTAAACTCTTGCTTTTCAAATTTCCTATATTTTGCCCAGTTGTGAATTCAGCTCTTATACTGACAATGTTATATACCTGGTTCTCCTAGAACAGACACCTGGGAGAGCAAAATCATTTGACCAGATTCACATATGGCCTGTTCCTCTCCTCTGGATCTCCCGGGGATGGCACTATCTCCAGTGAATGTTGAAGATAACTTAGGTCACTCAAGTCCCTGGTGATGGTTTTGTGATGTGCTTTGACATGTGCATTTGCCAGAGCAGCAAAGAGGAAACATTTATTTATTTATTTATTTATTTATTTATTTATTTATTTATTTATTTTGTTTATTTATTTATTCAGGTAGAGGAATTTAGACTCCTGCATTCTACTATGCTCATCTTTTACGCAGAATGCCCAGGACATTATGGCATTGCACAGTGATCAGGTTCCAAATGAAAGGTCCTCACACTGTGGCTCTGGCTATGGAGGACTTGATGGGTCTGTAGCTCTCCCAGCTGCTCCAGGAGACACAACCTGTCCACCCAGCTAAGAAGGGAAGTGTTCTTGGCTTTCCTTGCTCTCTTTTCACCTCTCCTGTTCTGAAGGACAGTGAAGCCGAGAGCTTTTCAAATAAGTCAGAGGAGGAGAGCAGATGGTAACGTCCCTTCTTGAGAATTCCAGTCTTTGAGTCATAAACGGGAACCTCGTCTTGTCTAGAGCAACCTTCACAGAAAGAATTCTCTGCACAAGCCCAGGTTAGCACTTGTCCATTAATTGCCTCCCACTAGCACTTAATGTATTCGGGTATTCACTCAAGCCTCAGAACCGCAAGGGTCTTCATTGCCTCTTCCACTGCACACAGACCTGGTTAAATCAATATTCTTATATAAGGTGATGGGGACAGCCATATTTTCTCTTCTTTTGAATTTTTTTTGTTAGTATACACATTTTATATTCTGCCTTTAAAGCTATTTTTGCTGCACAGCTGCTTTGCTGAGACACAGACTCCCACGAGCTCTGCTCAGTCCAGCGTGTACCTGAATATCCTTTCACGGCATTTGATTCCTGCAGTTGGTCTCATGATGAGAGAGGAGTGTGCAGGGAGACTGGAGATTCTTATTAAGCAGGTCACCCACAAATCTATCTTCATGCACTTCTTTATTAAAAATAGCAGAGAACATGATAATACCTAAGTGCAACCACTTACAGGAACTTGGCTTAAAGTTGTACATTTTCACTTACCATTTGGCGTTTCTAATGTTCTGTTGCATTCCCCCTTCCCCCCATATACTCAAAAGAGCCATCTTTACCATTTTCATTCTGGGATGAGAATAAAGACCACAACTGATGCTGTACTGTTCATGGAGCCTGCCTTTGTCCCTTTTCTGGTTCCTCCTTGTATCCCTGTTGCTGCTCTTGAAGGTGGACCATATTGAAAGCAGATACAAGGTTAGGAGGAAGGGTACACAAATAGACACAAAAGATTTTCCTTCAGTGTGGATATCCCACGAAAAAGGAGTAGTCTGTGTCGGACCTATGTTGGAATTAATGAATGAAAGCTACAGCAGGATAGGCTTTTTTATTTAACCCAAGAGAAATAATGATTCCACCCTGCCTGGGACAGACTGCATTGTGTATGGTAGGGAGTAAACATTAGCCTATGGAGAATAGTGGGCTTCAAGCTAAATAACCATTTGTTAAGAAAAATAGTCCCAGAAATAACAGGTCCACATCAGCTGGACTCCTCAGTGGTGTATGGTGTCTGAAATAATTACTGGTTACTCCAGGCATTTGAAAATACGATGAAAGTTTTATATTAAGCACTTTGAAGGTATTGCTTTCTTTGATTCACTACAGTTTTCAACAACTGAAATCTGCTATAGTCTCCAAATTGATGAGATGAACTGAGACAAAGGAAGTTGAGTGGTTCACCCCCACTACAGGGGAGTGCCAGTCCGGTGATGGTGCTGACTTAGTTGGCAAAGGGAACCATTTTGGCCATGCCATGGAACAGTAATTCAGTTTTGCACAATCCAGGGGGTAAGGTGAGGGGGTTAAAGTAGCATGAACCCATTGTGACACTGAGCTGGTGGAGATTCTCTTGCCTGTCTGTGTGATACAGTCTGGCGCAGGCTTCATCTGTTGCCTGTTTGTAGAAGGACGGTGAAGTGGAGTTTGTGGGATTTCTCTTGCCGTCTCACGGGCACGAGGGCTTGGGTTGCATTCTGATGGCGGGTTGGGACTAGATGATATGTTTATTTACCATTTATTTCACTTGTAGTGTAGGGTGGCTAAGATGGCTTAATGGACTCTGAAATCCCTAAATATAGAAGGCAGCTTGCATGCAAGATCTGCTTATGTTCCAAGGTGTGAGGTTAGAAGGAAGATTATTCTAGACTTTAAAAAGTGTAGCCATTGAATTCAAATTGCATGTAAGGCTCCTGTGATGATGTGTTCCTTGATTAAAAAAACGTTTATTGTAGAAACATTTCAAAGCAGAATTATTACAAAACAGTGACCTAGCCTTTCTGAAACTTCACATATTAAAAAAGGTCCATGTACTACTGTGCATACGTGTGTAAACTTCTTTTGAATTTGGATTTGTGACCCATATCTTTGCTCTAGTATGAGGATGCATCAGAATGCTTTTGGCCTATTTCCTATTGTTGTATGAACTGGATACTTTGCAATTTTGTGATAATATATACATCATGTGTAATTGTTTTGCCACATTAATCTCCAGAAAAACAAATCTGGTTTGTTTATGTAGAAAAAGAAAACCCACTAAAGATGGATTCTTATCTCTTAAGGCCCCTCTGTTGGATTTTTTTAGGCAAATCATCATTACTCTTCATTACCGTGGTTAGTTGGTATGGTAACATCGGGGTTTGGAGAGACCTGCCACGGGATCCTGGCTTTTCATATGCTCAGTGTTCCGCATAGTCATCAGAGTAACAGACTCCTTTTCTGCCCCCTCCCCTGTTGGTTTTCCTTCAGCCTGATGAAGTCCTCCGACATCGACCAGGACTTATTTACGGACACTTACTGCAGGGTATGCAGTGCACAGCTGATATCCGAGTCCCAGCGGGTCGCCCATTATGAGGTAAGGAGAGCCCTGCCCACTCAGCCGCAATGCTGACGTGGGACTCGAGAAGCCTTGCTTTTGGAATTGGGAGCCTGTACAGTGTGAGTCAGTCATGATTGTCTTTGTTGGGAATAGTGAGTAAAGGGTTAGGGACATTATTCTGTGGCCCTGGCTACTTCCAGACTTTATTTATTAATATTTCAAGCCAGGTGTGGTAGCACACGCCTTTAATCCCAGCACTCAGGAGGCAGAGGCAGGTAGATCTCTGAGTCTGAGGCCAGCCTGGTCTACAGACTGAGTCCAAGATAGCCAAGAAACCCTGTCTCAAAACACCAAAAGAAAATTATTATTATTATTATTATTATTATTAAATGTGTGCCTTGGCCCATAGAAATCCACTGGGCTTCCTTTCCTTGATTTCTCTGTGAGGGAGTCCTGTTATCGCTCTTTGCTCTCTCTGTGAGGGACATATGTCAGCCAGATACACCTGTGAAGACAGGGTAGAGAGGCTTCCTCCTCAGATATCCTTCCCTGTGGTCAGTGTCCTAAGTGTTCATCAGAATGTAGGAGTCTCCTACAATCAGAGCCAAGTTTTAAACCCCAAATACTCTGGACAGGGCACTGTGATCTTTTGGGTGGGACTGGGAGAAGCCCTTTGATCCTGTATTGGCAGCAGAGGATAAGAGGGGTTGTCCTATATCCTGGGGAGGAATGAGGTACCAGAAGGGGAGGGGAGGGAGTTGAGGACCCCAAGGCACTGAGTGCTGGCTGCATCAGGTATTCCGGTTCCAAAGAGCATACAGCCATGAGAATAGGGGTTTTCAGGTGTAATGACTTGTAAGGAAGCTTGGCTTACAGGGCTTAGCCAGCAATTTTTGTTTTTCATCTGATGAGTCTAATAAATGGCAGTTGTCACTCTCCCTCACTGAAGATCTCTGGGCTCCAGGTTCCTCCGTGCACCGTGGAAATAACAATGACCGCACACTCCTAACCCCGCCTTCTCTACGGGGTTTCGTGATAACTGAATGCAACCTTTCATAGTGATCGTGGAAATGTTTTGGAAACGGAGTGTGTCAAACATACGAAATTCTTTCATTGCTGTTAACTTCCTTGCTGCAATGCTTTGGTGATAGCAAACAAACATGCTCTTTGAACATCTGTGAAATCAACATCTGTGGAAAAACTCAGGATAGTTGTTCATCCTGCTGTTCCACGGGGGTGGTGGGGAAGTGGTTCCCCAGTGGCTACTCAAGTTCTCCGTATAAAATGGTGTGGTATTTACACAGAACCTATGCATGTCCTCCTGTATCTTTTCAATAATCATGCATAACACCCACCTCACCTCATTTGCATAAATTCAGCACAGTGCTGGCTTGTGGCAAATTTGAATTTTGCTTTTTGTGACTTTCTGGAAACCCCTCCCCCCCGCCCCTCACTCATGCTCTTGTTTGTGTGGAGATTAGGAACCTGAGGGCTGATGCATTATTCTTTTGTCAAGAGGGAAGTGAGTGCTGGAACCAGCTAGAAGTGAACAGGACCTTTGCTTTGCAACTAACAGATTCTCTGATCTCTGTGGCTATTGTTGACAAGTGCATAGCACTGTTACTAGGAAATACCACCGAAGAGCAAGGGGGTTTCCCGCTCTGAAACTGTGCACTCCCTCTGTCAGGTCTTTCCGTTTTTAGTTTTTAATCATTGTTCACGATCTCTGAGGATAGACACTGTTTCGTGAACAGTCCCTGCACATCTTAAGTGCTCTTAGCATTTGTGCGGTGGACAGGTCTCTTCCCTAAATACATGCTGGTGATGCTGACTGGGAGCTCCTATCTGAACCAGAAAGCTAATGCCGGAGTAGTTAGGACAACAGAACTGTGAAATATACAGACGACAGAAACAAGAACAACAACAGCAAAGCATCCTAGCGGCTTGACTGAGAGTGTGGTTATTTTGGTCTGAGGTTCTCTTATTGACGTACCGGACTCTTGCTGTGGTGTAATCTAATTGTTTGTGGTACGTGTTAATTGGATGTAGCATTCACGAGTTAGGAGAAATAAAGCAATCAATAGATTCCCCCATCAGCAGTGTCAAACTTCGGCCGGCAACATTTAGCGCACCCCCACCTACCGTCGATGGGCACGGAGTGACGCCTATTTGCCTGCCCCTCACCTTCCTGCTACCAGAAACAGCCTGTGCGTTCTTGCTGCAGAGAGGGCGAGGTGACAGAGGCAGGGCCTAGGCTCCCTCTGTTTCTTGTCTCCCATCGTCCCTTGGTTTGGCACGCCTGTACTGTATTGGGCCTCAACTCACCAGAAGCTGGTTGAAAACTGGTATTCTATCTGTCTGCCCTTTGGGTCCACACACAACGTCTGCTGAAATCAACTGCAGAGCGGGTTTCTCGGTGAGGTAGAGATTTCACTCGACTCCTTCAGAAAGCTGTTGCCGTGACTCTTGGTGCTCGCCTGCCTCTTCCGTTCAGGCTGGTAGCGGAGCACACTTCCCTACAGGGGCACATTGGTGAGCCTACGCTGTGTATTTCCAGGTGAGTATCAGTCCTAGGGTTAGATGTTAGAGGAGGTTCTGGACCAGCATGAGAAATGGTATTTGTGCCCAAGAAACTCAGGAACTCCACGGAGAGGAAAAGCCACAGTGAGTTCCTCATGACTCAGATACCCACGTGACGATGCTCAGTACCAGATCTGAAAAACCCCCACAAGCTCCACAGAGCAACAGGCCTACTCTCCTACATCAGTTCTTTCACCACGTTTGCTCCCTGGGAAGACCCACCAGCCCTTGGGTGTAGCTTGTGTTTCTGGCCTGAATGAAAAGAAAAAAAATTAATCAAGCTCTGACATCCACAGCTCTCTGCTCTCTTACTGGGGATGCAGTGTGACCACTGTCTCTCCTGCCACCGTGTCTCATATGATGGATTTGGATCTCCTCCCACTGGGAGCTAAGATAAACACATTTATCACCTCTCCCAGCAGGAACAGCCTTGAATTCTTTCCGATCGGTGAGCACGCGCTCTAAGAGTGGACAGAGCCACCAGAGGCATGTGCAACCCTTACTTCCCTGACCTGTGAATAAAACAGGTGTTAGCCCCCCACCCCCCTTCACTGGAGGGTAGCTATGAGGGTGATAATTCCCATCCTGGGAAAAGCCGGTCTGGAGACAAAGGACAGTCAGTTGCTTGCAGCAAAGCTGGGGGTCCCAGAAGGCCAGGTACAGCTTTCTCCCTCTTAGGGGAGAGAGGAAAACTCCTTAAGTGGAATTTGACCTCCTCAGGAGGGGCTTCCCCCTCTCAGGGGCCCAGGCACTCCCCTCCCCCACTGTGAGCTGTCTAATGGGACTCTCAGCAACACAGAGCCTTATTCTGTACCTGCTTTCAGAGACCTGTGTGAGCTGGTAACCGTACCCTTCTCTCGGAAACAAAATCTCAGGGCTGTTCCTTATATTTTCCTTCATCCATTTGTCTATTTCTCCCCTGAGTTTAATTGTGGAAACCTCACGTTAATTTAAAAATTAATAGGTGGAATGGCCACATCCTTCAGCTCATTTTTGCCAAAAGCCTGGCTCACAGGGCTAAGAAATCTTATGGGATCTTCAACAACCCATGCCTTCCTTGGTCTCCTTCCCCTTCTCCCTCTCCTTATCTTCCTCCTCCCATCCCAGATCATGTCACTGTCTGCCTGCCAGGAATATCAGACTCCATCAGATGGTTGGAAATGGCGAGACTGTGGATGATGTCAGAAGACTTTAAAGGCTCTTGTCATGCTACCGCCCAGAGCTCTATCCCATGGTTCTTTCTAAAAAGCTCTTAGACTTTTAATGAAAATACAATTACGCTATTTCCTCCCTATCCTTCCTCTAACCATGTACCGACCTCTTCTGATTGGATAGCTCATGGTAGATACTTGACCTAATACTTGTGTTTTCCGCTTTGCTTTTTAAAAATTACTTCTTTTAGTTTTTGAGATTCATGTATATTTTCATCATCTCCGCTTCCCTTTCCTCACTTTAATTTTTCCCATATACCCCTCTTGCTCTCTTTCAAACTCACAGCCTGTATTTTTCTTTAATTTTTTTCCTGTTTTTTTTTTTTTTCAAGACAGGGTTTCTCTGTGTAGCCTTGGCTGTCCTGGACTCACTTTGTAGACCAGGCTGGCCTCGAACTCACCTGCAGAGATCCACCTGCCTGTCTTCCTGAGTGCTGGGATTACAGGTGTGCAGCTGTAATTGTTGATACAGACTACAACTTGTGCAGTCTGTATAATGTTACTTGTATGAATATTTTTAGAGTTGACCATTCATATTAGTACACAAAAAAAAATCAGTGTACTTGACCCTGGGAAGTCTGTTTCATGAGCATGGAACTTTTTTCCATTTTCAATTATCTTTCTCTATTTTCTTCTTTAGACTTTTCATTGTAGAGCTCCTCCACTTCCTAGGTTAGTTCTTTTTTTTTTTTTTCTTATATATTTTATTTTCTTTGAGACTCTTGTGTCTGCCCATTATCTTTCTCTGTGTGGTTTTGTTAGTATATGGAAATTCCCTTAACTTGTTTGAGTTCATTCTTAGCCCTGCTCCATTGCTGAATTTGTTCATAGGTTCTAGAAATTTTCTGGTAGAATTTTTGGTATCAGTAATGTATAGTATATCCTGTCACCTGCAAATAGGGATGGTTTGATGTCTTTGTATCCTATATATCCCTTTAATTCTCTCTCTCTCTCTCTCTTGCCTTATTGCTCCAGCCAGTAGCAATATTCTAGCACAATACCGAGAAGTGGTAGGGGCAGTTGGCAGCCCTGTCTCATTGCTGACTTCAATGAGATTGCTTTCAAGATTTTCCCTGTTTCAGAAGATGTTGGTTGTGGATTTCTCACATCTAGCTTTTATGTTGAAATGTTTCTTTGCTCTGCATTTGGTAAGACTTTTTTTTTTAATCATAAAAATATGCTGGATTTTGTTATGGATGTTTTCTTAATCTCTTGTGATGACTGTGTGGTTTTTTTTTTGTCTTT